CGATGTCGCTGCGATGTTGGCTCGTTGTTTGTCGGCTTTCAAGACTGACGTTAAGCGGGTACAAACGTCACCACACTGCGCGTATCTCCCCCACTCCCCATTCACGTTGGTGGTGACCCGTAGGGAGAGGTGAAAACTGCCAGGACAAATAAACTCGCTCGACTCCGATTCTCTGGTCTTATCAGCGCTCTGAATGGGTCTCCTCCATTGTTGTTATCTTTGTAAGAGCGATACCTCCACCTAGCTACACAGAGGAATGACCGGGTACGGTTACCGCGCCTAACAATCTGGATTTCTAACGCGAGTAAAAGACCAGGGTGTCGTCTGTCGGACAGTCTCCGGGCAATTGTGGGTATCCGACTTGTTGGTAGAGATTAGAATATTAGATACCCTATTTTCAGGGATACATCTTCTAAGGCTAGCTCAAGAGATGGGGATCTGGAGAGGCTAAGGGAAAACAAGTTGTTTTTGGCGGCGAAAGACGCAACGTTGTTTCTAGTTCTCACACAAAGGGATCGGGTGTCCATAGTGAGGCATAGGCCGACCCGCCCCGACCAAATATTTTACCCAATTGCCGGTATAGCCTTACACGTTACAACGGTTTACGTTTACCCGATCCTCGGCCTTGCATGCGCAGTTGCCCCGAGACAAAGCGCTCGTGTGACCCGGTGAATGCCTGAGTGAATGAGGCACAACCTGGCCTTTGTCTTAGACCCGTCGCCTTGGCAACGCCTATCGGACAAGGTGGGCCGCGCACAGAGAATTGGCGGGAACCGAGGATAGGCGTTTCAGGTGGGAACTGACACCTGTTTAAACGGGTGCGCTCAAGCAGAGGATGTTACAATGTGGGGAGGTGAGGTGGAACCAATGCTGGCACGGGGGCCAGGGCATCACTCAGCGACGGACTTCAAAAAACTCTGGCATATCGCGTCAGGTCGGCTTACGGTTAGATGACGTACCCTCTTTATATCAAAGTAAGGAGGTTAAAGTGTTGAATTAAAGGGCGATGTCGAATTCATGAAGCCAGGATGTTATCCAGAACAATACCTATATAGGTTTATGCCTGAATGGGTTAGGATTACGCTTAGACACGGTTCTGGATAGTCTCTTCGTATCTAGGAAGGTAGATTTCCTCCAGGCACGGTTCTGGATACGCGTGGACCATCCCGAACTGTGCCTGAGCATGGTTCTGGGTAAAGTACAACATCCGTGCCGTTCAGTCCCCAAGATGACGGAACCGAAAAGCGTACAACTCAGACGTCACAAATATTGCGCACTTGATAAGGAAGTTTTTATGTTGAGTGTTTGTTCACTATATAGAAGAGGCAAGCTACCATCACATAAAATAAAAAAATCTCCGAAATAGGCGGCAACGATGTTCAACGAACGTCTAGGGCTCTTCACTCACAAAATTAAAAGTGAGTGATTATTGATCGGTAAGGGCGCGGAAACATTCGTCGCAGGTCGTCGAATGACTTTGATGCTGTACAATTTTCAAACAGGCCGTAACAGGCCCAACCGACACATACGTGACCGAGGTCTATAAAAGTGAGTCCAGGGTGCACTAGAATTATCCTGTAGGCGTCAAACAAGTGTCTTTTTGTTTGACAGGACAATTTTATTACGCACTACTTCTATACTTCACATTTTCCCATGGTAGAGAATGAATCTGCCATTGTTAGACGTCTAAAATTAGACCCGCTTTCTCTCTCTCTCCTTCTCTTCCTCTCTCTGAAAAAATTTCCAGTGTTATTTACACAACACATACAGAGGATAGCTTACAGTTCCTCTAGAATAATAAATGGACCGTTTCGCAAGGATCAGTTCTTCTGCGATCCAGAAGATACAGTTTCTCCCCGGCATGTGAGCGCCCATTGCCGCGCACTGTTCTGTAGGATTCCCCTGAAAGAACCGACCCAGACTGTCGCCGTCGGTAAACAACTTTCTAGCGGAGGGGGTGGAAGATGAGAGGGGCGCCGGTGTGTGTTTCGCTGGAGGGATGTGGTTTAGGACAGGTGAAAGTTGTTTGTGAACGCAGTGAAGAGCTCGCGTGCCGGCCAACACGTCGTCGGAAGAACATTTTGCAAGTTCGTCGGATGTTTGGTCAACGTTGCATCGGAATGTTGCCCGTTGCAGATCATACGCGTTCTACCAAAGTGCTATGCATGGTTAGGCCATATACTGATTTGATTAATATATGCTCTGGGGAAAAAATGGGAAAAAAGTTGGGAAAAACCTATATGTACGTCACTGACTCTAATCTCCAAGCAGATCATATGGTGGCAATTAAGGCAGTGTCCATTGGCCAAAGGAGTGTCCATTAGCCACCACTTGGGTGGCCGTGCAAACTTGTCTTGCCACCGAAAGGCATCTGCTTGGAGATTAGCTGACGCATCTCCAGACACGTTTTGATTGGCTGTTACAATTACAAATGTAGTTTCACTCCCCACGCCTTAATGTAAGGAAAACCAGTCCAAAGACTACACATGATCACCAGGGGTTTTTCTAGAAAAATTTGGTATGAGGGAGCAGTATCACGGCGAGGGAGCGAAGCGACCGAGGGGGGGTTGGTGCGGAAGGGGGTTTCCCCCTTTCCGCCATGTGAAGCCTTTGAAAATTTGAGGTTGAAATGGGACATTTTGAGGCTACTTGAGGGGGGAAATTTGAACTCTTAACCTCAATGTACCTTTCCCAAATTTCTATTCATGCATTGCATATTTCACTTATAAAATATAAGTACAATCAACAGTACACACAATCTGCAAATCACCCTTTATACACTTACACAATTAGTGATCAATGTTACTAGTAGCTCCAGATGACAACATTGGGTTTGCCATAAGCTGAAACCTTTCCCATGGCACAATTGCAACACATTCATCCAAGCTGCTACAAACTCAGGTCTCATGTTTCACTTCAGAGCCTGTTCTATAGTATGCAAATGAAGGAGGTCTAGCTACATGTCTTGAGCAAGTTCTCAATGAACATTGTTTATTCCATTCAAACTTTTACTACTAGAGCTAAATTTTCAAGTTTGTGTTAAGATTGTGGAATTTTTATGAGAGTAACATAGTTTGTAATGCTAGAATGTATTGATATGTGGTGTTGTTTTTGTATTTTTACTGGAAAAAAATGATTTTGAAAAAGACTTAGGCTTCAATCTGAAAATTGATATGAGGGCGCTGGTTTGTTACATGAGGGCGCAGCGCCCTTGTTCCCCAGTTCAGAAAAACCCCTGATCACGGTATCTAGTTTTGATGAAACACTTGTCCTAAGGTTTAGTTGAGCTGCACTGTCACGGGCAACCGGCAGGGAGCGCAGTTCACTAGCCATGCATCTCACAAAAGGTCACCCAAGATATCATTCCGCAACAAGCTACCATAAAGTGACGATATTAAAGTTAATATGACGAAGATCCATTCACAACGAAAGTGTAACGTATGACAAAACATACGTTTTGGTAATAATTTTTGCTTTTTTTGCTTCAGAGTTGGGGGATTTCAGAGGGAAGTATTTTTTCGGACGCGCATGTATTAGGGGTCAAAAGTATGTAAATAGACTTACTTCCTGAAACAAAACGTGCACAGTTTTGTCTGTTTTGGTTGTAGTTCTTGCCATGAAATGGTCCCGAAACGTACACTAAACTGTATACCGAACGTTGAAGAAACGACCAGGCATGGAACTTTGTTAGAAAGTGAAGGTGTCAAGCTTACGCTACCGCTGTTTCGGCGTCTCGTCTGTGCAGAACTAGCGAAATTTCGGGTCACGCAAGCTCACATGGCGCACCGCGTCGATGGTTTTTGCTTTGCCTGGTTATAAATATTAGTTTTCTCCTATTTTAGCAATCTTTGATTCGCCTAACGTAGGTTAATAAGCTACAGGAAACTGAGATGATCCAGTTGAGTGCAGTAGCACTGCTGTTTGTGTTCTGGGGAGCTGTTTACGCCGCCGACATTCTGATTGCGGTAAGCTGATCTCTGCCTAGCCGTGGCGACTCTTGACTCGGGCTTACATTGCATTACCCTCTGCAAGAGTCGTGGAAAGATCCATTGGCAGAACTGCACATTTCCCGTTGGCTGCTCGATGCTCCGTTTTTGACCCGGTTTTTTGCTGTCCCGAGCTTCCCTACAATATAACTCCACAATTGGCCGGGTTGCCGATGTTCAGATCGGCCTAAATATTCCACAGCGCGACGGGAAAGTACTAAAATAGCTAGTCGGTACATCCGCGCCGCCATTTTGGATATAGTCCGGAATGTCCGCTACCGCCGTCGGGAACGCTCGGTAGGCTTTCCGGTTATGATCGGAGAGTTTTCGGTCCCGCTTCGGTAATCGTGGCGCTACCGAGCGTTCCCGACGGCGGTAGCGGACATTCCCGACTATATCCAAAATGGCGGCGCGGATGTACCGACTAGCTATTTTAGTACTTTCCCGTCGCGCTGTGGAATATTTAGGCCGATCTGAACATCGGCAACCCGGCCAATTGTGGAGTTATATTGTAGGGAAGCTCGGGACAGCAAAAAACCGGGTCAAAAACGGAGCATCGAGCAGCCAACGGGAAATGTGCAGTTCTGCCAATGGATCTTTCCACGACTCTTGCAGAGGGTAATGCAATGTAAGCCCGAGTCAAGAGTCGCCACGGCTAATCTCTGCCCCCCTCCCCCATAACGTTAGCAGGAGTAGTTTTTCTGAACGTATACGTATACGCTACGTATACACCGTCATAATTGTACCGGTGTCCTCTGAATCCATTTCCATGTTATTCTAACAGTAGTAGAGCTGTTGCTTGGGAGTTCGAATTCCAATTTTTAAAAAATAAAAATCATCAAAACAAAGCTGTACACAATGGCGTGACTATTTACAAGTTGTTTCCAACTAAGTTGAGAATTTAATTTGAGAATTAATTAAAATAAATTTCACAATGAAAACCGCATATACGAAAGATGTATAGTATCCTAATTGTGTGGCCTAAGGTATGTACAATTTCGCAACTTAAATAAAATGGCCAATTTTTCCCAGTCCTCCAGCTACAGCAGGCGATACGACCGCTTCCTCCACCGCACGGGTCTGTCCGTGTCCCTAGGCCAGGTCCGCTGGTACACAACCGGTCTGAACCGGACGTTTGTCCGCCTGGCCAGCTGGCAGTCGCCATGGCAACGGGCGTGGTTCTCGGCGGGGGTGTGGTTCGCCTATGTGGCGATGGTTGGGTCCATCGCACTGCTGGTCGGGACGTTGGTGCAGGGTGTGAGGAACTTAACCAGGGCTCCGGAGGAGAGGACACAGCAGATACTGGTGCCTGTGGTGAGGGGGATTATTTTGTTTGTTTTTCCTTCAGAAGTTTTCATCGCTATTCCTTTTGGAGTCTGAAGAGGGTACACTACAGCGTTTACTTTAATGTACAAACTTGGAATGAAACTGTACAAATCAATGCATTGCATTGCATCAGAAAAATCAATAATGTAATGCAGGAATGTCTGTACAATCTTGACAGTAGAGGGATTTAAGACTTTTTAATAGTTCTCATCATTAGCTACAACTTCTTGCCTTGTTTTGTATCTTTTTGCAGAGTCTATTTACATGTACTGTACATAGATTTGTACATATACCCTTACACGTTGATGGTTTTACAAAAGACAAATACTACAGTGACACTGACACCTTTGTCACATTACATGTAAGAGATTTTAAGTTGTATCCAGATATTTGTATGTCAATGATGTGGTCTTTCATATGTTTCAGATGCCAGGTGTGAACCTGCCCTGGAGCCACATGGTGTACTTTGCTGCCACCTTGCTGCTGGCTGGGGTACTGCATGAACTTGGTCATGCCATTGCTGCAATTAGGTAAGAGAAAAGGCTGGGGTAGCAATAGCCTGACTGAACCTCGCTTTTCCCCGGCTCCCTAGTAGTCTGCCACGGGTGGCGGACTATGTAGGGAGCCCCCCGGAGCTTGGGTTTCATAGGCTAGGGTAGCAAAAGTTCTAATGATCTACCAAAGGTCATGTATGATCTATCACATCTATTTTCTTAGACACACCATTTAGAATACCATCACACTTACCAGTGTATAGTGTAGTATTGTCAGACGAATCAGAAGCAAGGTTATAAGAAGATGTTTAAAGTATTTCTGTTTTTCAGTGTGTTTGTGTGTCCATAAATGTAGCTACTTGAAAACAGTAGCATCAAAGGAGGTGTGAGGGGGTATAACTTATATACAGTGACAGATTGACAGGAAGGTTGGTGGTCAAAATGGTCTCCCAACAGGCTAGGAGGTACTAGTAATGAATGGTGGAGGAACTCAAGGATTGCATATGCGCAGCCGTGAATTATGCACAGAATCAACGAGAAATTCACAATAATAAATAAACCAAGAATTCACAACAACTCATGGAGGTGTGAATTTCTTGTCTTTACCTTATTGTATTAGCCGCAATGCAACACTGTTTTGTATACACATAGAGAACAAGTACGGGTGAACGGATTTGGGATCTTCTGTTTTGTCATCTACCCTGGAGCGTTTGTGGACCTGTCTACAGAACACCTGGACAGTGTCTCAGCTCAACAGTAAGTTCTCACAGCAACTCTAACATTAAGTTTCTCTTCTTCTCCTCCCTTTTTGGCAATAGAATATAATAGGAATAGTATTGTAAGCAGCTTGTAAGTTGTAGTGCTTATTTTATTGGTATGTATGTAGATGTTACTGTTCCCTTCTATGCTTAGCATGTATGTGAAAAAGTTGGCATAAAAATTGTGTGGGCCAATGGCTAAAGAAACACAGAAAACAGTGGAAACAAATTTAACTGTAACTGTATATAAATGTGTTTGATGAAGTTTGGAAACAACTGTATAATTTTTTTTTCTTTGCCTAGGAAGCTGAGAATCTTCTGTGCAGGAGTGTGGCACAACTTTGTGCTGGTGGTGTTAGCCCTGGTACTGCTGATCTGCATGCCGTACCTCCTCCTGCCACTGTACAGCACAGGACAGGCCGCTGTGGTCACTGGGCTGGTGGAGGTAGGCTTAACCTTCAGTCTGCTAACGTATCTGTTTAGTACTCAAAATTTGTTTTCGTTGTTGGGTTGGGCAGCAGAGAGAAGGTTAAGAACTGTCTTTGGAAATCTGGTAGTAGGAAGCTTAGCCATCAGTCTGCAAAGGTATCTGATTGGCACGAGATTTGGTTCCGTTGTGGCATCAGACAGCAGGGAGAAGGTTAACTGTCTTTGTAAGATAGTTGGATCTACTGTGGCAGGTGGGAGTAAGTGGGTGGTACATGGAGGAATTCAGGAAGTTGTTGACAGTGTGTAATAGTATTACTAATACCCAAGTAACTTACGTCATAAAATACACTCCACAATCCCAACACATATCCAATGTACCAAAACACTTCCGTGAAGTCTGAATCCCCAATTTCCTGTTTATTTTAGGGCACTGCTGTCTCAGGTCCAAGGGGACTTCTCTTGGGAGATCATGTGACCAGGATGGATGACTGTCCAATCAGGAGCAAGGAGGACTGGGAGCAGTGCATCCTGGGTGTTCTTCACACACCTCACAGAGGCTTCTGTCAGTCTGCAGATCAGATACAACATTTCAACACAGCTGTTAAAGGTACTGTAAAGTCGTAGTGTTATTTCGTAGTGATTATGGTAAGGCCACACCAATTTAATTTGTTGGTTCTCGGATTCGCCTCTTCGTTTTTTTCTGATTTGCAAAAAAAAAAAAAAAATTTGATTCTGGTCCTGAATCAACTGAAAAATGCTCATATTTTGCCCCCAACAGTTGAAGAAAGTCCTTTTCTTCCTACTTGTTACAGTTTTCCCATCTATCATTGCAGTGGTTTGATTAAAAGTTCAAAATTCAATGTTTAAATTTTAACCCAGCCTTTTGTGTTGACTTCATGGCTCATTCCATAGCATTTAAGCCTATAATGGGATGCCTAGACCTCTTTTTATTTTTTTCGCCCTGTCGCTTCATATTTTTTCTGAAAAAATCCGAGAACCAACAAATTAAATTGGTGTGGCCTAAAGTATTGGAAGGCAGAGCCCATCCCTCTCCTTCCACCACCTTTTACCCCCCCGACTGAAGTCAGGGACCCATTTTACACATGGGTGGAGTGAAGAAAATTTTGTTACGCGCCTTTCCCAAGGACAGAATGTCTAGCCTGCAAAGCACGAAATGCAACCCATAATCTTTTGATCTTGTGTCTTATAGCCTAGCCATGTGGCCATTTGATGCCACTCATAATGAATTGACTTTAACTGTACCACTCTTCTGTTCCTCAGTTCACAGGACGGTACATGGTATAGTGGAGTGCTGTAACACCAACACCAGTCTGAGTGAGCTGTGCTTCTCTTATCGGCACTCTAACTTCTCAGCACAGGTGAGCTGAGCATTTAATATATGTATTCATTATACTAGTATAGCCTGACACTACACTATAATAGCCCACACTGTTATCGGCATTTCCATGCCAGAATAGGCCTCTACGGCCACATGAGGACTTGTGACTACAGATGGATGACAGAAGCAGTCCACGTCATACTTACAGACAAACACCAGACATGTAGACTCCTTAACAGGTTTAATAGTTAGGCTTTTGTGTGTGTTTATTATTAGATGTGGTATATGCTGTTTTCTCCTAGAAATCTGCTTGAAGATTAGGTGATCTTTACAATCGCATTATTTTCCACAGTACCATGCATGTCTGCCTGCCAGAACAACTGCCTCAGGCCCTGTTTGTCGGACCAACCACGACTGCCTGACACCCGAACGTCACAAACTGAGCCTGCGCCGGCCAAACTTGCACCCCAGCTCTGCGTTCTGTCTGTTCCCTGCCCTGGACAACAACACCCGGCTGGTCAGGGTCACACAGGGGAGAGATCCACCCATGCTGTTCCTGGGAAACCCGTGGGAGCTGTACTATCATGGTTAGTGGGTTAACAGGGCTCCGAATATGTTTTCCTGCAAACCTGTACTGGTACACCGTACAGGGAGCATTGGAAATAACCTGCACCAGGCAGATTTTACCTGTGTTAAAGTAGGTTTTATGGGGTACCCTCAGTATGCATCAAAGTAGAAGTTTTTCAGAAATGATTTGAATTTTATGGGTAAAACAGTACAGAACTTCAGAATATAACAATTCACAGATACTTACGTACCCAATACAGGGATGGTGTAGGTTAATACACGCGTAGCTACAGGTAGACATAAAAAATACCTGCTCAGTTCCAATTTTACCTGCACTAACCAGTGTATACAGGTGGTATTTCCAGCCTTGTTTGGCTATGCTGATTTTCTCGAGTGGAGGACAGGTATATGGAAATCAATTACTTCCTGAGTATGAACTGTGGGTACGTGATACTATCTGTATCTGTTTACCTATCTTTCCCAGCCAAGGTGAGCAGCTACATGCCAAGGTTTGACTTCCTCCCCCTGGAGTTACCTGAATTCCTGGAGACCTTCTGCAAGTATCCTTCTTTTGGCCCTGAAGATACATAGTACACATTCTTATACTAATTGTATATTGTAAATTGTATTGTGTTGTAATGTATTGGAGAGGGCAGCTACTCTCTGCATTGCATTGAAATGTTTTCTGCATTTACATTAGACTTTGAGCCAAAGCTTCAAAATGTATTTTTCTGTTTGCCTTTTCTGTGATGGAATCTATGTAAAGTTTATGCAGAGAGATTAGGGTCAGTATGTACAGATGTAAGGGTGCCCAGAGAGAGCAGCTATATACTGTATAAGAGATTTTTTCCTGAAGGTTCCTTAACAGGTGTAACAGATACCTCATCTCCCTGTCCGGAGCGCTGGCAGTCCTGAACGTCGTCCCGTGCCACGCCCTGGACGGACAGTGGATCCTGTCAGCCCTGGTGGACTCACAGCTGGGGAGACTTCTCCCCAACAGGAGGGACAGAGACACCGTCGCTGCTCTGATTTCCCTGCTTGGCACTGTGTTACTCGGGGCTAACATAGCTCTAGCTTTGTGGAGCCTTATTTTCAGATGATATTAGTTATCTCAAGGACATTATACTACAAGTAAATGTCCTTGGTTATCTGTAGTAAGGGAGGGTTTATTTATTCATGAAGATTTACCAAATTTGTGAAAGGAATATCCAAGAGGACGTCCCTAACCGAAGCTATGTACTCATTTTCTCCTGAGTAAGAAAATACATTGTAGGTGTAAAGTGCTGTTAACAAAGGGTACAACACTAGGGCCTGCCAGGGATTTGAACCCAGAACCTCCAGATTCCGAGTCAAGAACAGCCCTAACCACAAGACGACCTTGCCACCTGAAAGTTACAAGTACAGCTACTACAGCTGTGCTTGGATTGGATACAGTTTCATACAAAGAAAACATCCCTGGCAGTTATTCTGATATTTAGACATGTGAATGGAAGCTGGCCTTTGATTGGTCAAAATCAATTGTGTTAAAAAGAAAAAAAAGGCATGAAGCATAGCTTGCAATGATACCATCACAGGAGAAAAGTAGAGCAAAACTAAAGCAAAAAGTCATGGAAACGTCAGAGGAAATAGCTGAGAAAAGTCCTTTATTGAAACATTTTTGGCAGCTGTGCTGCCTATTTTAATAAAGCTATCCAATTTGTATATCTAGACTATTTGTATATCTAAACTGTACATAAAGCATTGCTGTAAAACAGCTTGTCTCAAACCTTTTTCTGATTTCATATAATTTCTTTTCACTGAATCTTGTGCTTGTGGTTACAATATAAAACTTTCTGATAATGTATCAGAGCAACTTAAGATAATGAGCTTGACTTCACACTTAAAAAATTCTGTACCTTATCTATCTTAGTACAAGGCAATTTTTTATATAGCAGTAGCTAAATATAAAGCAAAACAAGAACTGTGACAATATCTATGATATTCCGGAGGGGAACATCCCATATTTTAACTACAAAAATTAAAAAATTCTGGCAATTGCCGGGGAAATTGGAATTTATATCCATTGTCACGATCTATCAACTTCTTCTTCTTATGAAAGTGTTGAAACGTTGTCAACAGGAAATAAGAGATTGTAGACTTCCTGGCAGTATGACCACCCAGGGCATACTGGGTCACAACCCTGTCAATCAACTAAAAGACTCTCTCCACCCACTCACTTCCAATCCTTGCTGAACAGCACAAGATACATACAAACCGCCCATTATCTGCCCAAAACAATACTTCCGTCCCGGAAGTAATCCAGGGTAACTACATGAAGCTATCAAGGATAACTAGTCACTGCAGATGGACAAAGAACCTTTATACAGGGAGAAGGCTGGAACAACTGGTTCCTGGAAGGTGACATTGAAAGTGTGGATGACCTCCTGTGTTGCTGGGTCTGTGAAGGTCACGCTGCCAAGGTCATAGTCCAGGTGAACACCGATCCTCTCGGGACAAGTGGAAATTCGCACCTCAGTCTGTTCCCCCTGAGCCAGGGCTTTGAACACGGAATCGTGGAGCATCGACGGGATCCACTTCTGTTTTTCCAGGCCCCAGGACTTCTTTGTCCAGCCGATGTCTTTGTCCCTACGGACAGATCTGTACGCGACCCCGATGGTAAAGGAGCCCTCCCCCGTCAGGATCTCCCAGTAATGCTTTCCCTCTGATATGGCGCGGTTCCCCAGAATCGTGTAGGCATTTCTGCAAAACAAACCCAGTACAGTAGTAACATTATGGTAGTACCAGACTGAGTACAAAATGTAGTAGGTATAGTATGACAAGCAATACTAAGGCCTATACAGAAAAATTAGTTGGTTGCACTTGGTTGTAGTGCTTTCCCCTCTGATATGGCATTTCTGCAAAACAAACCCAGTACCAGTAGTAGTTATAGTAGTTGTGGTAGTAGCATGTCAGAAGTAGTAGGTATAGTAAGACAAGTAGTAACGCCAAAGGAAAAATGGGGTTTCATGCTGAGATGGACAAGATGCTGTCTTTCCTTCAGTTATCCCGTAACCCACTACCAGCTGACCGGTACTATCATCACTGAAATTTTTTTTTACTACTTAAGTTAGACTGACATGTCAGCCCATTATGGCTGCCAGGAGGCATTTATGTCACATCTAAAGGCCTAATAAACCAGTCTATAATTACTACTACATCACAAATTTGATGCCTAAAGGCTGCAGAAGTTTAAGAAAACATTTTTAACCTTCTACCTACTGCCTCATCCATACAAATCTGGTGCCAAAGGGCTACCTTGGTATGCTGAAGGCTAATCTTACCTGGAAAGTGGCTTGGTAGTGATGAGGTCTGGCAGGGAGTGACATTTCTGCATCTTCCCTTTGGTGACTTTGGTGTTGTTCTTGCTCAGGTGCAGGTAACTTCCTGCGCTCTGGGGGTTGAACTGGAACTGGAATTTACCCCGTGTTTTCTCCACCGAACAGGAAACAACCTGAGGACAAAATAACAACTTTCCATTAGCAAAGATATCTGATATTGCTGGCATTATCCATTTTCAAAATGTGACAGACCCTAGGATGAAAACAAGTTACTATGGCCATACAAATTTTATTCCTTGGTTTGGCAGCAGAAATAATAATAGCAGAAATAGATCCTATGTTATACCACAGGCATCAGTTGGTGTAAATGATGTTTCAAACAATGAATTCAACCACTTCGAGTGAAGCAATGAATAGGAAAAAAATATAACACCTAGGAAAACAAGGAGTTTCTTCAACTGTTGGTGCCAAAACATGAGCATTTGGAATTATTGATGTCCTTGAAATAGATTTTGAGTTTTTGATTTAGATTTAACTGTTATCTTCTTTTCACCTCAGAAAACAAACTATAAACCGAGACATAGAATCGGTACGGTCTAATGGCATGTTGTCCAGTGACTACTCATTTTTTTTTGCATCCAATTACTCAAGCTAACAAGATTACCCGACTAGTCCACATGGCTTAAGTCCTTTGGAGCTGGCTTAGGTGGTACCCAATTAAACTCTGATTATTCTATATCTTCAAATCCCTGTATTTACTTGTGGTGTAACACCAGATCTTTTTCTGTAATCAAAGAACACAGCTGTTAGCCTTGAAGATTCTTGGAATCAGCTTGAGATTGACCATAGGGTTGTCCTTCAAGTCTGATGATAGTCTGCTTTCAAGGTCAGTTTCAAGGTCAAGCTCTTTGACAGTAAAGAGACACATTCTTGTACAAGTGACCATATTTAAGAGACATGAAACAGACATTTTTTTTTTAGATCTGGGTATGGAGGTGTGCGTGTGAGCATGTGTGCATGCACGCATGCGTGTGTGTGTGTCTCTAAGTATTTTATTGACTGCACTTGGGTGGGTACTGGTGTATATATGATCAGGCTGTACAGATACAGATCTGGGAGCCAAACAGCTAAAGGTTAAGTAGGACACAGTCCTTAAGTCGTAATTGATTTGCTTTGTTATCTGACAAACAGCTCCATATGGCAGATTGTCCCCAAAAATAAGTCTGCTCATGCTGTATCATCACTTACCTATGAATGCTGTTTCTATCACTTAAACCTATGCCCTACTGACTTCAGCTATAAGTACGTGTTGTGAGTGAAGTGAGCTTATATACAGTAAGGGTTAAGTTTTGGCTTGTCTGTTCTAGAACCAGAAAAACTGCATGCTTTTCTTTTGACAAACCCTTTTTTTATTCAGCTGCCTTACTGAAATGATCCCAGAAAAGACGACTGCAGCAAGCACTATCTTACAACCCACAGACAATGCATGCTTCAGTAACCATAGTGGTGTTTTACATACACACACACTTGTACTTACCTCTGGTAGGTTGCATAGTGGCCCATTGTCTGAAGCACTTCTTTGCATTTTTGGCTCAAGTTCCAGGTACTGCATGTCTGACTGTGCTGATTTCTCAGTTGTCGGCTTGAAGAGATGGTATCAGTGTTGTCTAGCGGTAACTGCGTACAACCGTGCAACGTCCCGCTCAGTTTCGTGCACCAGCTGTGTGGGATTTCTCCAGCTGAACTGCAATTTTATACATAAAAGAGTGACGTTATCAAATGGGTCAAGGACCGAATGTTTATTTGTTTTTAGGTCACAATAAGCCCTCAGGTGATACAGCCTGATTCTATATATAATTAATGTAAAGGTCTGTTCTTAGGTCAATACAGTGCATATAAATGTAAATGTGAATGCTTAGCCCTAAAAGTGAGCTGTAGTAAAGCCACATTACTCCACCAGCTATTGGAAAAGCATTATGCACATTACGGTGCACTTTGTGTTCAACCAAAGAGGGAGAGAGACAGCATTTGTGGAGGAAGCTCTACGTAGGGGCAGAAAAAAGCTTTTCCTTTAGGCCACACCAATTTAATTTGCTGGTTCTCGGATTTAAAAAAAAAAAATATGAAGCGACACGGCAAAAAAATAAAAATAAAAACAGGTCTAGGCATCCTATTATAGCCCAAAATGCTACAAAAGGAGCCATGAAGTCAATGCAAAAGGTGAGGTTAATATTTAAACAATGAATTTTGAACTTTATATGTTTTAATCAAACCACTGCATTGATATATGGAAAAAACTGTAACAGCTAGGAAGAAAATGACTTTCCTCAACTGTCGGGGGCAAACTATGACCACATTTGAGTTGATTCAGAACCAGAATCTTTTTTTTTTCAAATCACAAAAAATGGAGAGGTGAATCCGAGAACCACCAAATTAAATTGGTGTGGCCTTACTTAGAAATTGTGGCAAATCAAAATAGCTAGCCCAGCAACAGAAAAGGTACATGTAGGCCCCCATTTTCTGTCTGGCATTGTACTTAGTACATGTAGTAATGAACTAAAGCCAACCTTGGCAACCATAACAACAGCTGGTGACAATATTGACATAAATTAGTATTGATGTATGTTTTGAGAGCATACTTAATAATGTTTGATGTAGTTTACAGGTCAGGGACATTCTATAACAGCATCAGACAAATAGATACTGTAAAATACATTTACTTCACAAGCTGAAAATTTATTTTGCTGTATGAGAGAAAAGGTTTTTGTGAGGTTTGAAACAATTCTGTAGTACATGTAGGATTCAAATACAAAGACATATTCATGCTGGCATGAAGGGGTCACTGAAAAATCTCAAATATAAAACCACCGCAAAAGTACAAATGTAAATTCATGTTTAGCATTTTGAAACTCAAACAAGAACATTACATGTTGTAATTGTCATGTCAATCAAAGCTTTCACAACAGAAAACTAAACTTATTAGAAGAATATAATCATGTACTTGAATTCCCCAGTAGCACATTTGTTGCTCCTCACATGATGTTCACACAGAAATTTGAAGCCTTTTCTAAACACGACTGCGTTACTCACACCAGGACAGAGACAAGGGCCAGACTAGCCTGCGGTATTTAGAAATCTGAACCTGCGAAATACCTTCCCTCTCAGACACAACAAGACAGTCAAGCTGCCAGGACAATTGTTTTGCAGTGTCCCAGCTGGGTTTTGGGCAGAGTTTTGCTACTTTTTCTGTATTTTTAAGGTCTTTATAGTCATAGTTCATATAATTCAGCTAGTGAGAAGTATTTTGAAGTACAAATGATTATTTAGATAATTTGCATAATTGATAAGAAAAACCTAAAATTGTAAGTGGAGGTATGAAATCATTGAACTCTGGTCATTTCTTACTAGTAATATTCTATATTTAAATCTTCAACTGTTTATCTTAAGAATTCTCCAAAAATTAAGAGTTACATGAAAAAAATGTGACGCAAATGTTGAAAGATAATAAGTATGTACTACACATACCGTACATGCCTAATGATAGATCTAAGTAAAAACAGAAGCATTGAATGATAATGCTCTTGGAAGTCCTTTGAAGGCTAACTTTTGGTCGGTACTTAAAGTTTGCAATGCTGCAAGTACTGACAAAAAGTTAGCCTTTTCATGCATGTACAGACATGGCTAGGTGAAAGCCTGACACTCTGCATGCACAACAACAACTGTAGACTATTCCTGCCCAGTCAAGTGAGGAGTTCAAGTGTACCGTGGAGATACCATGGTTGCAAGGCGTGCATGTTTGCTAAACACACACACTTATGCAGCACTGCAAGTTTTAAAATAGACTTTGATTGGCTGTAGCAAACTTTATGGTTCTGTTGTTGTCTCTTCCTCTATTTTATGTACAGTCAAACCTGTACAACTACAAGGGATCACCTGTACATAAGGCCAATGTGGCCACTTTTTGGTTGTCCTGTAGATAATTTTCCCATTCACACAAATATTAAAAATCCTGTCTATAGTGACCACCTGTCCACATAAACAGATTTTATTGGTGACCCAAGTTGTTTTCTTGGGCAGTTTTAAATGTATCTTTAAGACTATACATGCAATGTCTTGACTTTGATGTCTTCATTATTCAATAGCCTTGTTTTTTTACACTGTTTGTTCAAATTATGTGTTTTGGGTTCATTTTGTATTTTTCTCTCAAAGGAATTATTTTGAAGTGTATATCAGTAGCTTTTACATGATTTCAATGACCGAACTACCAGCATAACAGACGCAGTCCCCGAAACAGTCCCCGAAAGTTTCCTTTGACTTGCCAATCAAATATGTCATTGACATTTCTCCCCTAGGCTGTCCAGCTGCAGCCCAAAAATAGAACAAGATATTTCAACAATTTCCTTAGACTGGGGAAAAGAAAAGCGAATTGGCACAAGGCCTTCAGCGCAGTTACCGTATACATGGGTCAGGGTTGGGTGCACGACTAACAAAGTTGAACCCACAAAACGACTTCGAACTCTTGCCCCAAGTTAAGTAAACACAGACAAATTTGACAAACTACTAGTGACACACAAACGTCAGTAAATACGTCGCGTATCGTCCAACCCGCACTCTAACCAAATAAACAAAGCGGGCGTATATTAAACCTTACCTTATGAGGTAGGAAGTCTTTGTCTTCTAAACATTCTTAAAATCAACTCGAGCAAAGTCTTGCTGCGTTAGTACTTCAAATTATGACAATGAACTTTAACCTACCTACTTTAATACATGCGGTCCGTATGTTGAAATAGTCCTCCACTGGACGTTCAAAGACCGTACAATGACAATGAAAGAATTTGAACACTCAGCGGTTTGTATATCCTTTCTTTTCAGAAAGATGACGATCTACTACTTCTCGGAAAAAGACTTACCCCGGTGCCCAGCGAGCCTTAAGAAATTACCCCTAATTGTGAGACGTCTTCACGGCTTCAGCGTTTCCTTAAGTGTCCTTAGAAGCATTCCTCGAGAACCCTTAAGTCTTTAAACGTTGGAGTCTATCAATTATTCAGGAACAGTTTGATCAGAACGGTCCAGGTAGCACGTCTGCAGGAAGCCGTTGTGGCGCACTTGATGTTTCACCCCTACTGGGAGTTCATCGGTCATTTTCAACGGGTTCGATTACACGTGGGCGAGACCATTTTCCACGGGAGGGGACACGCGTGGGGGTGCCATACAAGAAATAAAGGATTTTCGCAATCTAGTCAAAGATACAGAATACAAAAGATTCTTATGTTAAGTAATAAAACGTTTTAGATTTTATCCCGAGATCAAAATGGAATATCGACATGGATTTTTCACCTGTAAATTTGATATCACCCCTTCGAATGTTGACTTGGAAAAACCCTCGGTAGAAAGCTCAGCCTACACTTCCGTCCATTTGTCCTAACTGTTTGCAGTTTGACATACTACCTGTCACAGGCATAGTACTTTATTGTAAATAAAGTGACTACCGGGGATCGCCAATGGCAACGTGTAGACGTTTGACTCAAAGGGCTGTGACGTCAATGCCGCGAACGAACACCGAACGTTGCCCCCGGATGTGGGTCACGGGCACGGGTTCAACAAGATGTTGACGTCGTGTGTTTTCGCCATCAGAGCTGAGTTTTAGACGTACACCTTACAAGCATCGTGAACCCCCCAAAAATTTTAAAAGAAATTTAAGAAAACGTAACTTCATAACTTAAGATTTAAAAGTAGCTTCATGTAGCTAAAAGAAATTCAGTTAGGCGTAACGTTAGAGTCTACAGAAGCTAACGGTTAATGTTTAGACAGACAAAGCCAAGAAAAGCAACTTCGGGGAAGTTGTGTACAACTACAATGTACTAGTAGTAGTAAGGTACTAGTACACCGGAAGCGGATGTGACGTCAATGGTACGTGAGGAAGTCCAACGTCAAGGACAGTGATATTAACCAGACGCATACCTGCGATATCAGGGACTATAAATTATACATGTGGAAACTAGGCAGGAACAAAAAGAAGCAAGCAAACGCCACCACACTGACAGAAAACATCAACAATCTAAGCGTTAGAACACGTTACAGGTGGTGCATGGGAAAAGATCGGTTTTATGTTCAATCCATGCTTAGGAAAATGTGTTCTGATGTCAGTTCCGAAAAAATAGGTAGGCGGGAATATTTTATTTATCTTTTTCACTGTTTCTAAATTCCAGATTTTGGGTGAAGTGATCCAATATTAACAGTGTATAGTCATAAAAAACATCAGGGCCAGGGCTGTCTCCAGGAGCTGTCCTTCCGTTTTCCTGTGGGAATATTTTACCCGCTTTACTCAATAGAAATTACTTCTAAACATGTACGAACGTTCAAGAGGCTGTGAAGTTCAGATGTCAGCTCGAGTATTTCATGTCCCTTGCATGCCAGCGGCCTACCAGAAAAAGGCTAGCTATAGGGTCGGTGTTTTGGCTTGAGTTAGTTGGGAAACCGGAGGGCGGAAAAACAACATTTTCTTTCCCAGGCTTAAGAGGTAAAGCTTGGCTAACAATAACATCCATAGCAATGTCACGTCTGCACAAACAGTAGCTGACGTCAAAGCAGGTTTGGAGAAATAAGCAACTTATCTTCGGGTTTCACAGAGGAACTGATTCATCCCAGACACTAAACCGCTAGATGTACAGGGCCGGAAAATATGTCAGTCACCAAGGTTAACAGGGGAAAGACGTAATTTACATGGAAAGCGTTTTACTGTTGATCGCAGATAGCCCTAACAATGTATGAGTGGAGTGTTACCTGCTCGAATCAATGATTGTGTAATGCTCTCATGACTGTAACGTTACGTCTTGGGAAACAAGTAATCAGACAAGTCTTTGTTACACCATTTATGTTTTACTGTTACTTTTTAAAACCACATATCTTTGTCAGAATCAACAGTTACAATCTCATTTACATACACCCTCAAAGCTTCAGATGCCGTTTAATGTCTCTATTGACACCGCTTTAAGTTCTAACATTCGTTTTTTTCTTTGCAACATTCCCTTTACTACTGAGGCATGGATACTCCGGTGTGAAGTTTAAGAACGGACGATATCCCTCCCAGCCCAATCCACAGAGAGAATGCCGGGTAAACCGGCCGCTCGAACTTGACCTTGAACGTGTGGATGACCTTCTTGCTATTTGCGTCTTGGAAGGTCACAAACCCTGCATTGTAGTCAAGAATCACCCCTATCTTGTCCGGGTGGGGAGAGAAGTTTATTTCACAAGAGTTGCCTTCATCGTGCGCTTTGTAGGTGTCGCCCGATGTCCGTTCGATGCCCCACCCCCCGGCCGACTCACCGACGTTGACCTCGCGTGACACGTCTCCATACGCCACTCCCAGCAGGTAGTACCTGGCGTCCTCCGTCCCGACCTCCCAGTAATGCCTCCCGCCCGACACGGCCGCGTCTCCGAACACCGTGGACGTTTTGAACCGTCCCGGGACCTCGGGGAGAGAGGGGATCGCATCCCCCTTCACTGCCCTCGTGTTTCTCTCTGACAGGTGCAGCCGCTTTCCCGCCGTTTCTGGGTCGAACCGGAAGAAGAACGGGAGCGTTACCATGGAGACGCTCGCGCTTGGACACACCCCACCCCCACTGTCGTCTGTTGCACAGACCTGAAACTTGTACTTTGTGTCAGAACTGAGGCCGCGAACGACGGAAAAGTTCCCGCGTATGTTCTGTACAATAATCGCGGGGTCATCTGAGGACTCATCATCACAAGAACAGTGAAGTTCGAACACTCCACTATCGTCCGATGTCTCCCATTCTATGTAAGCCAGGTCAAAGCTAGTCCTGCACATTTCTTTACGAATCACTGGAGCAGGCAGGGATGATTTCTTCGACGTTTTGTTTTCAAGGTCAATCTTTGAGTCTTCCATCTTGGCGCTGTGAACCTTGGGAGTCACGTGATGTTGATCTACTGCGGCTATTTTGTCAGCGGAGCATCCCATGTAGCACCGCGGCAGTCCTGTAATGAGATATGCCACAAAATATGATGCTTTATTTGTTCAAAATGCTGTGTTTTTAGCCAAATCCTTTCTTATTAACCAGAACCATATTCCATTTTCCTGAATCATGTCATAAACAAGATACGAATAAATGAATGAATACGATACAAATATTGCACACCTAAACTTGGAATTACATGTACACCATAGTCAAAATAGCCCCTCAACCCAGATTGAGTTGTGTTTAACGAGATCAACTTCAGATTTACAGAATTCATTGTTCCATTCTTCCATTGGTCCCTATTGCACGGAACTACATGGCATTGCACAAACCTACACCCTTTAATACAATTTCAAACCGTTCCAGCTAGGTATGAGACACTCTGTATAGAACCTCCAGTCGACTCAGACTAATTTAGACCCCACTATGATAATGGTTTCCGATATCAAAGGAAAACATAACAAACCTTACGCCCCCTCCCCTCCCTCCCTCACGATATATCTTTCAACTCACCTGTCACGGTACCCAGGCGATCTCTACCGTATAGGCTGTAACCGATGCTGTCCAAATCGAAATAATTAAACCCTGAAGTATCCTAAATCATCCTAGATAGCTATAAAACGTGATCTGGTAGCCATTTAGGAAACGTTACACCATGTACAATACGATATGTCCCACCTGTAAACCTGTATACCTGTTGACCCGCCCAGGTGTGTGTACCGCCCCTCTCATGACCTGTTTCCTAGCGACGTGACGTCATGTCACGTGACTGTAAAGGTCACCTTTCAGTACTTTTGTCAATGAGGCAATCAAAGACTCATAATGTTTTTCTGTTAGAATGCCCAGTTTCCTTTATTTTACAGCATTTTTCACAGTCAATGAAAATTACTCTATTTGCAATACAAAATGTGTAGCGTGTGCTTTTTAACGCAATAGACATGGATGGTAACAGGTTACTAGGGCATCGACAGAAACCTCGACTAAGAAAAGCTTACTAAAGCACCGCACTGATATTTTTCAGTTCGCACTTAAGCTTCATACATAGAATCATAGGTGAAATAAATGTACATGTAAGTCATTTTATAATAGGATCGGTGATCATATAATATGATCATCCGATGATCATCGTATTTATAGTATCTTAACTCTGGAATGAATGCCAATGTAAACGTTGGTGCAATCATATTATTTTAGCTCGTTTTGTGTCCCAAATTCCCCTCGTTGAGTCTCGAACCAGACAGTCGGGAAAGCTGACTGTCAGCACCGTTTTGCCGCTGATGTGAACGCAGGGTGGATGTGTTTTTCGATCCATAGCAAGGCTGTCAAAAAATTACGGACAAGCCTAAGCCACATGTCTACCGGAATCATAGCTGTACTTCTTTGCTAGCTGTAATCGATGTCATCACTGTCATACTCTACATCAAACTCGTCCTTTTTGGAGTCGAAGGGAATAGCTTTTGCGTCCTGAATGGAAAGAAATGATGAACATATCATGGATCAAAACATTGCTCTTGATAAATATTGGCAATCTTAAAATAAGTCATTACTATAGAGACTCTAGTACATCTGAAAGAAGCGGACATCTAGAATTTTGAAACAAAAATATTGAAGCAAAGGCACCAAATATCTACCTCCCAATCACTGGCACTGGCAGCGGCTCAGGCACCGGCATCCCCTCCTCATCAAAGCCGACGGACATCTCAGCTTTAGCGTCCTGAATGGAAAGAAATGATTAACATATTATGGATCAAAACATTGCTTTTGATAAATGTTGGCAATCTTAAAATGAGTCATTGCTAAAGTACATATGAAAGAAGCGGACATCTAGAATTTTGAAACAAAAAATATTGAAGCAAATGCACCAAATATTTACCTCCCAATCATCGACATACGACCTAGCCACCTTCACCTCCTCCAGGAGCTCCTCAAAGCCGGCGGACATATGTTGGCTGCTGTCCTGAATGGAAAGAGATGATGAACATATTATGGATCAAAACATTACTTTTGAAAAATGTTGGCAATCTTAAAATGAGTACATCTGAAAGAAGCGGACATCTAGAATTTTGAAACAAAAATAGGAAGGCAATATATTGAAGCAAATATTGCACCAAATATTTACCTTCCAATGAATGACATCCGGCCCAGGCATCTGCACCACCTCCTCCTCCGCAAAACCGAAGGAAATCTCTTCAGGTTCCTGAATGGAAAGAAATGATGAACATATTGTGGATCAAAACATTGCTTTTGATAAATGTTGTTTGGCAATCTTAAAATGAGTCATTACATCTGAAAGAAGCCGACATCTAGAATTTTGAAACAAAAATAGGAAGGCAATATATTGAAGAAAATATTGCACCAAATATTTACCTTCCAATCATTGATATACGGCCTAGCCACCTTCACCTCCTCCTCCGGGAGCTCCTCAAAGCCGAAGGAAATCTGGTCCTGAATGGAAAGAAATGATGAACATATTATGGATCAAAACATTGCTTTTGATAAATGTTGGAAATCTTAAAATGAGTCATTGCTAAAGTACCGAAAGAAGCGGACATCTATCCAGTTAGCATGAACCGTTATTGTATGTAGGCCAGAAATGTGTAGTGGTCGAGATATGCATGACCTTTTTTACCATTTTCGCATGCGCGAAAATGGTAACTCAGACGAGATTGAGATTGGATCAACGGATGGATGGATCAACGGTTCCACCCTTCAACGGCCATGCAGACATGCTAAGTCACCGCATGTCGCTAGATGTCGTTGTTGCGACGGCCATGCAGACATGCTGAGTTGCCGCATGTCGCTAGATGTCGTTGTTGCGAGTGCACTTTTTACCATTTATGCCTTGGACGTTTGTATACTTTCCATTATGGTTGCTAATTTCAAAATCATAGTTCTATAGTATTAATGTTGCATAACAAAGCTGCTGACAAAACAAACTTAATTTGTCTTGAACAATAACTTGATTTTATTATTTGCCAAAAATGTTGATAAAGACATGTCTATAATCACAGTAATCAAGGATTTTAATAAACTGCATAAATTATGTCAATGAGCATTAGCAGTGTGGATTAGTCTAGATGTTCAGATTTCTATTAGCCGGCAGTCCAGAGGGTCACACGTCCGACCAATCAAGGCGCTGCAGGCAAAGCTTATTAAAAGCCTCCTTTTCAGGCGTTCCCGGATCGGTGTTTTTGTGTGTGTGTGTGGTTGGGGGGGGGGTGTATTTTCTGACCAAACGTAGATCGCACGCAATAGAAGCTCCGGCCTACATAGCTGTCCGTGGAACTATTGATATTACCTGGGTGCCTAACTTTCACCAACATGTCTTTTGTATTTTAGGAAATTAATTAATTAATGAGTGAGTGTTTAATTAACTTAAATAGGTATTGCATTGTTTGGCAAGGTATTTTCCATTGACAATTTTTAATGGATCAGGTTGATCAAATGATATAATGTAAACAATTATATATGATTAGTAAAAGATGACTTTTGAAGTTCTCTTCGAGTATCATTTTAGGGTTGAATCAGGGTCAACGCGAAAAAAAAATCATGATCCGGTGATCGACATCATGCCCCCCCGCACACTTCATGTATTCAGTGTTCTAAATACCCGTCTTCAGTCTGCAATTTGCAGATAGATTTTCAAGATTTCAGGATAAAATACACAATCTGCAATTTGAAGAATAGAAAAAAAAACTATGGTCCTCACAACTTCATATTCCCTTTGTTTGACCCGCCCGGCGCCCAAATCCCGCTGCGATTCAAGCCGCGGCGGCTTCCCGAGCCATGCAAATAAACCTAGTCCTGACGCCACAGCCTCCGATTTCCACCGAGCCAGCCCCGAGCGCATGCCGACAGCGAGGGATGTGGCTCAGATTTCCGACGATTTCCTTATTTAGATCATTCGGAAGACTTCGGGTAGCAAACAAAATGGCCGCCATGCACATGATTTTATACTAGTAGCTTCGCTTCTCAACCGAAATGAGGAAGTTTAACCTCATTTGCAGACTTTAGCGGCCATGGAGTTGATTTGGGGAAGTGCTGAGACGCGATTTCGCTACGGCATATGGGATTTTGCCGCGGAGGGAGTTACGTACGCCGGCAAAAACTTGCTTCAGCGATCGGCTCCAGAAAATTTATCTTTATGCTGCCGCTCAAGTCTTCGAAGGTGGTTTAACGAAGTTTATATAAATAATAAAGCCACTTTGCGTAGATCGATCTCCGTTTTCTTGCGATGGTATGAAAATTCAAGTACAGTATATTTTCAAAACGTTTGATATTTCTTTGTTCGTTGCCACATGTTGTTTATTTATCTTATTGTCATGTACAGTTACCAGCGTGAGTCTGAGTCGAGCCATTGTTCTTATGTGGCCGTTAGCACATGTTGTTTAAACAGACAGCAACATTGAAGAAAAGAACCGAGTTAACAGACATCGGCACGTTCCTTGAAGTCAGGTTTCCCGCCGTATTTAAATAAGAAATGTGTGGGCCCGCGGCGTTTTGAAAAGACGCGACGCGCTTTGGAAAGACCCCGCGCCGTGGCTCATTCAAATTCGCTACATTTTTTGCTAAGTTTAATGTCTTCACCCACGATTTTTGACCGTCAATGTTGACGGTAAGGACTTAAATTTTTACCGTCCGACGGGAAAAAATACCGTCAATTGACGGTAAAACGGGCGCTGGCTAAAGCCCTGGTTGAATGTCACGAGGTTTGTAAACTTAGATGTTGGGGACAAAGCCATAGAAGAGATTTTGAATAAATATATATATATATATATATATATTAACGTTACTTATAATTTAAGTTAAAATGTACTTTTGTGTCTCATTTTTTTATTCTGACAATGTTGATGAGAACTAGAACCATTTATATAACTTAGGTAAATTGAAATGCTAGGATGGGGAAAATGTTCGTAAAAACTGTAAGCCTGTAAGCGGCGAAAATGGTCAGCTTTTGCAGAAGCACTTGTTTTTTTACTTACAGGAGGTAGCGGAACAGAAAGATGATAATATCCCATTGCTTCCTGTGCGTGTTGCATCGCTGGCTGATCATGAGTCGAAGGTCTAGCACGACGCGATGGACCTTTCTTTTGCTTGAGCTTTGTGGTTTTAGGTGTGTGTTCCGTCATGCATATGGGAGATGAATCTTCGGACGCTCTTACCTTGTCGGTAGAAAACCAGTAACATTTCGGCTTCCTGGTTGTTTTCATCGGAAAGCTATCACTTTTCGCAGTGCCACACTTATTGGTAGACGTAACCTCCACACTGTAAGTAGCGTTCTTCTTCAGACCTTTCACCGTACACGAGTTAACGTTAGGTTGAATGTCACGCATGCCGGATGAAAATTTACCGCGACAGGAACACAAAACATCGAACTTGGAATCCGAATCCTGGCCGTCAGCGTCCCACGACACCGTCACCTCCCCCGCTGTAGCGCTACACTTTTCTGATGAAATGACCGGGGCATGTGGCAAATCAAGGCCTTTCATGAGACTCTTCGCAGAACTCAGGTTTACAGAGACTCGATCTGTGGGAATGCGTGTGTGCTCTTCATCATCGAAAAACATGCTGGTACTTTGCTCCACACGGCCTCTGACCAGCTGCTCTGATTGTAAGAAACAAGCTGGATCAGTTTCTTTTACAGCCTCCTTGGCATACGCCAGACATGAGGTCGCACTCTTCACTTTCTTCTCAGAGTTGTCAATGAAGGTTTGGATCTTGGAAGTGTCATCTTTTACTACTTCGTCTACTTTCGCCACCATTGCGACCTCTCGTTCGCGGATAATGTCTATCAACGCATTGCATTCCGTTTGGATTTGTGATTTCACTTGAGCTCCGTGACTCTCTATCGCTGCTTTCTTGGTTTCAAGCTCTATGATTTTTGTTGTTTCTTTTTCCATCTTTCCCTCCATCTCTTCGACGACTTTCTGCAGATCCTCCTTCTTGCTCTCAAATACCTCCTCCAAGGCAGCTACGTCGTGTTCTTTGTGTTTCCCGACCAGTTTGCAGAGAGAGCAGACCGGAGTGCTGTCCTCCATACAGTAAAGTTCGACGGGCTTGTTCTTGTGGTCTGGACACACCACAGTCTGAAAACAACAAGATCCAGAAAAAAAATCAATCTACTCCTTCAGCTCAAATTCAAGCTGTACCGGCAACGCAGTAACATAGCGTTGGAGAGGCTAAACAATAACACGGTAACCTGTACCATGCGTCAGATCAGTAGAGGTCAGGGGTGGTAAAGAATAGAAATTGGCCAAATAGACAGATTTCATGCCAGTCCAGTTTCGGGAGCGGCAAACTGTTCTCCTTTAGCGGACCAACTACTTATGTTATCTATCTATCTATTTGCCGTTTCTACTCTTTCCAGCCGCTTCTGAAGCCCGGTACAGGTTAGCGCCAAGGTAAGACTTACAACAACAATGTTGTATATCCTATTAGGGATGTTATAGAACTCTAATTAAGGACCACAAGCAGTAACGAAAGATCAGTATATACTCCTACTCACCTTTTGCATGCCATCAAATGACTCCATGGGCGCTACCAGTTGGTGGTTGGCCAGCACGCCACGGGATGGGTGCAGCAGTTGCAAACATTCCCTGCAGTAAGACAGCTTGCAGGTGCTGCAGCTCTTCACCGCGTCTCTAGGGGGCGCTGCGTCACACACCAGACATGGCACGGCGTCCCGCTTCAACTGCGACTGCGCGTGTTTGAACCTGGTGGCGTGGTATGTTTTTAGTGATCAAATACTGACAGTTCCCAACTGTAGCTAATTCTAGATCTTACAAAGCAGCAAAAGTACTAATTAGCAAAATAGACTAAGTTATTTGGTCTAAGAATGAGTTTTTGCAGGCATATTTCTACAAACTCTGAGGTATCCTATAGAAAGGGTCGGTACAGTTACAGGTTGTTGGTTGCTTTGATCTCTTCAGGATGTGGATTTCTGGACTAATCCACAGGCAGATTTTGCTCTTTTTTTTTTCGCTAAGAGAGCCGGACACTAGCAAGCAACAGAAAACATCCGAATGATCAGTAAAAGATGACTCGAGTATTGACAATGTCTTACTAATACTAGCAAGAGTCCAGTATATGTGCTCTGTCCTGTACAGGGAGGGAAAAAGATCTGATCTTTACGTCAGCCCTACCTGTCAATGATGTTCTGAAGCAGTAGGTTTCTCCTCAGCCCGTCTACGCCTCGGTCACCCAAGTGAACCTCCTCTCTGCAAGTCGGACAGGCGAAACTTCCCGGTGTGTCCTCGGGGGAGGGAGGGGCTGGCTCCGAGGAGCAGGCGGCCTGCGCCCCCTCTGGTTCACCGGCGGGAGCCTCTAGGAACGCCTCGGCGCACCTGCGGCACAGGTTGTGTTGACAGGGCAGCAGGAGCGGACAGGTGTACAGCTCCAGGCACACGGGACACGTCAACTCGTCTCCTAAACCCTCCATCTTTCGTGTAGACTGTAGTCTGAAGTTTCACCAGGAAACGAGTGACCGAAACTATGTGACTTGGGCGGGTCCAAGTGTCAACAACAGGTACTAGTATTGCGCAATAGCGCACTTAGGTATATCTAATTTGTCCCCAATATGCCTGCTTAGCTTCGTATTGTTTGTTTGTGTACGTCTCTGTGTTATATACATGTATTTTATGTAGTATTATATCTAAATTTGTTAATTATTTTATGGTCGATGGCGGCGCTTACGGGTGACCGTGCGTCTGTAAATCTGTGGCGAACCCTTCCAGGGTGTTCCGTAGAATAAAAAAAGGAGTACAGAGATCTTTTTGTACTCTTGACCAATCTCCGGTCTCCAGTTGTTATTTAGGGGGCACACCCCAGTTTGTTTTGTGTGTCAATTCGATTCTGCACACCCTCAACTCGAACGACCGTCTCTTTCAGGAAATAATACCTGAAGCCAAAACACTGTGAACAATAGTCAAGTCCTTTAACTTGTCTTTACTTTAACGAGTCTTGCTTTGATAGCATGCCCAGACATCCCCACTACTCTCACGGCCACTGACACCATGTGACTCACCTTACCAGACTCAGGCTTGGTTTCAGCCAGCTGAACTACCACCTATTCCAGCATCACTGTATCAGTAGTCCCGAGTGCAAATGTGGGCATCCAAATGAGACACCAGAACACTATTTATTACACTGCAAATGTTATAATACTGAAAGGACCAAAATGTTGTTATCCATATCTTGCCTTCATCTTGAAAACATACTTCCTTCCGACCCACTCAACGTAAATGACGCCACATTATGTACTTTACTTCTTACAGGTAGCCCCAGCCTCCCTTACCCTACCAACTGCCGTATCTTTGATATTGTGTTTAACTATATCCACCACTCTGGAAGATTTGACCAATCTCAATAATGTTATGCTAGGTATTGGTGCGCCAGCCACTTTCATTTTATGTTAATGCTATACTTTATGTCATCTTTATGTTTACATTTGTATTATGTTTTATGAGCAGCGGATTTACATAAGCACAACAAGTGCTTCCTATCCAATGCTCAAAAATCCATGTGAATAAAATAAAAAATAAAAAATAAAAGTCCTTTAACCTCTCAAATTTTACTAAATTTTAGGGGGAGGGGTAGGATTTTTCGATGAAAATGACGCCAAAATTGGCCATTTTCACGTGCATATAAACCCATCACCCATATTTTAGACAGCAAAATGCTTTATATTGTCGGAAAGAGAAAATCCTTATATCATCATGTAAAGTATAAAGAAAATCCTAACACTGAGATTATCACAATAGCCCGTCGCGCGAGGCATAGCGACAGATGTGCAGGAATGGTCAAACCGAAGCACCACACTCAAGGCGGAAGGACACCCGCAAGTAAGCCTCGGGTCCGAAATCAATTTTCACCCAAAACACGCCACTTCTTACACTTTCTAGCCATGTTAGCAGTTGACGCCATTTTGCAGCAGATTATGGGAAATGTAAACTCAAACATGAACCATCAAAACCCCTATGTCACTTTTTTTTACGTCGCACTTGTTACCACGGACCTGTCGGGGAAGAATAAGAAAGTTTATTGCAAATAAATGCCCGAGGGCTAATTGCAGTTAGACCATGTTGATTTGATTATATGGATGACATTCACGCGCGCATGAATTTTCGGCCGTTTCCAAAAAAAAAAAAGTTTTCAACCATACTGTAAATCGTACAAAACAGTTGCAAAATGAGCAAAAATATACCATAAGTTACAACAAAATTAATAAAAACTATACCAATGTCGTAGAATGCCAAAATCAATAGAAAAAAGACGAATTTGTAAAGAAATGAACTTGAAGACTAGATTATTCACCAAACCATATTCTGTGCCATTTGCTCAACCCTCATGACCACGTAGATTTCATAATAAAAAGAACTTTTTTTTTGCAAAACTTTTTTTTATTCGCACGCGCGCATCAGTTTTGGGGCTCCCGGAGGATGTCATCCATATAATCAAATCAACATGGCCTTACTGTAGATATATTAGGGACCCAAGGACCAAGGACATCGCCAATGGGCGCATCACTTCTGTACTCCACCGCTGTACTTAGGCTGCGCCTAAGAGTTTTTCGAAGAATCAGAGCGGCAAGGTGAAGTATATACATGTACACTATTTATCAACTCAATATCACACCCATATATACAGTAGATGTATTAGGGACCCCCCATTTCAGCACCAAGGACATCGCCAATGGGCGCACCACTGCTGTACTCCGGCCGCTGTACTTAGGCCGCGCCTGAGAGTTTTTCGAAGAATCAGAGCGGCAAGGTGAAGTATATACATGTACACTATTT